TTGTTGCTACTTCATAACTAATTTTGCTACTGTTATGAGTCATAATGTAAATATTTTTGAGATAGAGGTTCACCAAAGGGGTCATAACCCACAGATTGAGGACCTCTGATTTAAAGTTTTATCAAAAAAATAGTCTGTAGCTGGGCGGTGTGGTGTATGCCTTTAGTCCCAGCACTTGGGAGGCAGAGACAGGCAGATCTCTGTGAGTTAGAGATCAGCCTGGTCTACAGAGCGAGTTCCAGGACAGCCTCCAAAGCTACACAGAGAAACCCTGTCTCAAAAAACCAAAACCAAACAAACAAACAAACAAAACCCCCCAAAACATAAGGACTGTCTTGTTCCACCTTTCACATTTGATTAACTGTCTATACCCTAAAGATTTGTGTTTAATTTGTTAGAACTGAATCTAGTCTCCTGTGAGATCACATACTCAAGTTTTAGAGCGGAGGAAGGGGCCCCTGAGTCTGCAGCACAGTGTCCCAAAGTTTTGATTATGGATGTTTTAAAATGCAAGCTATTTAGGAGGTTAGTGCAAATGCAAGAGAGACGTTGTAGAGCCATCACTGTGGACAGCCCAGGTCAGAGGCTTCTAGAGAATGCTGGGTGTGAAATAAAAGAGGGAGTGCCACTGAGCAATGGTGGTGAGTTGATGGGTCGTGTCCTTAAAACTCAGTAAAAATGATGACTCACTGAATACAAGGGTGCCAAGAAAGAAGTAGGTGGGAAGGACGGGGCTTTGGAAACCTGGGAAGTTTTGAAACCTGATGACTTGTGGATTATTAACATTTATGAGTAGATAATGAAAACCTGATTGTCAGCGTGTAGGCTAAAGCTTTGTCATTACAGTTCATTTTGAGGCTTACTGCTTGGAATTGGAATCATGTGATCATGTATTAACTGTGTGATCTGTGGGATGGAAATTCTACGTGTAAAATGAGACTCTTGCAACATTACTGTTAGGTTGATTGCTGGGGCCAGTTTCTGGTTCAGAGGAGAGAAGGTGACTAGAGATTGGGCCAGAATCTGTGCTGTAGCTGATGCTTGTTGACCTCGGTGTCCCTTCTTTCTCAGGACTTGGTGCTTTTAGGGTGCCATTGCCTGCTGCGGGACTATAAAGGACATGGGGTTCTAAAAGGTGGACTGCAGAAACCCAAGCTGGCAGCATCTGCTTTAAGAACAAGCTCAGTCAGTTCACAAAGCATTTGAAACAGCTTTGACCATTTACAAACCACAAGACCAAAGCTTTGGCTTTTGGAAATAGTTACCTAGGTTTTATTCTCAGTGGGAGAGGTGCTACTTTCTGACCATGGTGACGCCATTGCGTTTCATGCTACTGAAGCTAAACTTGTGCCATCAGCATTGGGCTTGTTTTGATTGTGGAGGCAGTAAGCTATTTCTCATGAACTGTTGAGAGGGTTTTTTATTTTAATTCTTTGACAGTTTCACACATGTACATAATGCATTATGGTGACACTCATTCTTGCTATTTAAAAATATTTTAAAATGTATTTGAAAAATTTCATATATGTATACAATATATCTTGATCATGCCCACCCTTCCCCCTCCAACTCCCTGTAGGAGTCCCACCCCACAGCAAACACATCTCCCGTTTAACTTCAGGCCCATTAAAAAATACATCTTTTTGTTTTTTGTTTTTATTCAGTAAGTCCAATTAGCTGCTCATTCATATCCACTGGGTCATGGACAACCTACCAATGGCTATATCTCAAAAGAAAAGTGACTGTCCTCTCCCAGCAGCCATCAACTGCCAGTAACTCCTCAGCTAGGTGCAAGGGGGCATGGGGGTGCGGAGTGGAGGGGTGGAAGGGGCCTTGGTAGCCCCTCCCCATATCTGCTGGAACTTTTAACTGGTTTGATCTTGTACAAGTTTTGTGCAGGTAACCACAGCTGCAATGAGTTTAGCCATGGGTTTTAACTATGCGTACAGTACCAGTCATGAAGTCCCTCTTGCAGGACAGGCTTCAAATTCAGTCAAGGCAATGGCTGGCTATTCTCACAGACAGTCTTGCCGCTGTTGCAGCAGGGGACAATGTTGCTTGCTGGGTCTGCATTTCATCATGTAGAATCTAGTGCTAGGTAAGAACATTGGTGTCTTTGCTCTCCTGGCATCCTGTATAGAATCTTTCTGCACTAGGAAAGCTAGCTAGCCAGTAGGAGAATTTCCTGCTCAGTTCGACTGATTTCTCTGTGTCCTGGAACCAAAGTGTATGATATATTAAGCTCCTTTACCCCTTCCTATGTCTTTCCACCTCTGCCAACCACCCTCTCATCCCAGCGAATCCCCCTCCCCTCTTCATGGCTGTTTTGTTTTTGTGTTGTAACCCTCTGGGTTTAACCAGTGGATGCTGTGTGGCTTTCTCCCCTGGAGCCTGGACAGTAGCTACACCACTGAAGACAAGGACTTCCTTCCCTAGGCAGCCACGACTGCTAGTAGTTCCCAGGGAAAGAATAGGACCCTATGAGTCCTTTCCCCAATCTTGTGCAGGCTCTGTTCAGGTGATGCAGTTGCTGTGAGCTCATGAGTACAGAGACCATGCCATACCCTGGAGACAGCATTTTACAGTCCTCACTACTACCCTCCTCTTAAGCTCTTTAAGCCCCTCCTTCTGCGATGTTCCCTGAGCTTTGGAGGGATACCAGTATCCTGCCTATGATGGACATTCAGCCGTCACTTGTTCTCGTCACCTTGGTTAGTTGTGAGTGTCTGCATTAATCACCACTTGCTGTGAAAATGAAGTTTCTCTGACTAAGGCTGAGGGCAGCCTGGTCTATAGGTGTGAAGAGAAATATTTATGGGACAGTTTGGCAACATGTCTGTTTAGTAAAACAGAAGAAGCAGGGTTACCCTTAGGGCCTGTGATCTCCCCAGCCATGGGCCTTTGACCACATCCACAGCATCAGGTGTGAACTTCCTTTAGAACAGCCTCCTATTTAATTAGAAGCAGCTGGCTATCCACAAAACAGTCATGCCATGATTGCACCAGTGGACACATACTGCCCGGTATGCTGGTACTGTAGTATGTGAGATTCTCAGCTGAGTATGAGTTTTCTTCTCTGACTTCCTCCATACTACCTTCTGGCACCATGAAAGCTAACCACCAGGGAATAAGTGTTCTGATTAATTCTAGCTTGATTTCTCTGTGTATATGAAAGTACATGGTGTCTTCAGCAATAGGGTGTTAGCTATGTAGTGCCAGTGGGCAACCGTGACAGGAGTTTTTGGGTTTAGAAACATCTGACAATAAACAAATGACTTCAAATCATGCCTTATTTTCCCTGGTATTGAGACAGGAATGCTCATGTCACACTCAGCAGTTATGTCGCATACTAACGGTGAGAAGTACGGTGAAGCATGCAGTCATAAATGGTATATTTAACTGGTTCAGGGGTATGCAGCTGGTAGTAGTGCCACCAGTCCCAGTCCATGAGGAAGATGTGATTTCTGGGACAGCCTGAACAGCTTGGATTGGTGGGATACTGAGAACACATGGACTCACAATTTACCTCCTCATCACTCCAAGGCGAAGTCCCCTTCGGGTTAATAATTCTGTAGTGGTTTCACTATAGCTTTGTAGCTCTGAACCCATAAGAGGTTTATTATGACCTTCTGAATGACCCACGGGGATGTTAGAACTTACTGTGTGACTTAGAGGAGAGCCAGAAAAGTCTACTGGAAGAGCATAGGCACAAGCTAGGAATTATAGCTCATTTAGAAACAGCAGGAGCCATGTTCTAAATTCACCTATTTTTTTTCCCCTTGGGGCAGGTGTGTTCTACTAAGGATCGTAAACTTCCATGGTTGTATATATGGAGACGGTGTGTGTGTCTTGCTATTGTCTTCTAGAAATAGAAGGCTGCTCAGTGTAGGAGTTATTGTAGTTATTTCACACATAATTTCTACAGAGATCTCACTATGATTTAATTAAAGGTTTATATGGATTAGTTTCTTTGGATTTTCTCTGGGGAAAAGAAAGAAAATCGTGAGTGATGCAGTGATTGCTAGGAAATCTTGTAAGGATATTTGATCAAGGATGCTTCAGAGTAATTGAGCCAGGCCCACAGGTCTATAAGTAGTGTGCCGTTAGATCTGGATTGTTCTGGATTTCAAGTACAGTACTCAGTCCTTTGCAGCTGGTTGGAGGGGTTGAGACGTTGGGTTTTGGTGTCCATTCATATCGTTTCCATTTTCCCAAGCTTCCGGTAGTAAGATGTGTGAAAATAAAGCTTTTTAAAAAGATGTATTTGTGTGTGTGTGTGTGTGTGTGTGTGTGTGTGTGTGTGTGTGTATGTGTGTGTGTGCAGGAAGGAAAAGACACAAAGAGGCCAAAGAGGGTGTAAGATCTCCTGGATCTGTATTTACACAGTAGCCTATGACATGTGTGTGGACAACTGGACTTGGATCCTCTGGAAGTGCAGCAAGAACGTTGAACTACTGAGCCATTTCTCCAACCCCATCAAATTTTAACAATTTGGCTTTATATAATTTACATGGTTGAATATTTTTAGATTTCTTGTTTTTTTTTTTTTTTTTTTTTTTTTTTTGGTTTTTTGAGACAGGGTTTCTCTGTGGCTTTGGAGGCTGTCCTGGAACTCGCTTGGTAGTCCAGGCTGGTCTCGAACTCACAGAGATTCGCCTGCCTCTGCCTCCCGAGTGCTGGGATTAAAGGCATGCGCCACCAACGCCCGGCTATTTTTAGATTTCTTGACTAACAGATATTACTAGTGTCCAGTGTTTATTAAGTCCCAGAAAAACCAGATTTTCGTTTCTGATTAGCTAAACAGGGTATAGTTTTGTGATTTTCATAGTTTGACAAGAATACCTCTAATGTAGAGATGCAATATTGCCCGATATTTAGGCTAAAGTGTAGCACTTGCCCTGTGTATGCAAGGCCTTGGGTTCAATCTGCACTACCCCAAACTCATTTAATGTTTAAAAACTAAGGTGGTGACTTCTTTTTTCCTTAGGCTTCAGAAATGATTTGATTTGTAAAACTGTTTTTATTATTTTCAGGCTTGATCTTACACATGTAGAATATGCAGAACTTTTCAGATCTATTAATGGGTAAGTTGGCTTGATATTGTATCAAGTCTTAATACAGTGTGTCAGTGTGCACATATCAAAGTTTTGCAAAGTATATGTATGAATGTTGTGCGTTTCTATAGAGCTATCTTGAAGTTTCCTGGTAATGTACCAAGTGCTCCAGTAAAGCATGAGAGACAGGATAAGGGCTAGAGCTGAAGCCTGTCCTGTAAGCAGGAAGTTCACCAGTCTGTCTGAAAAAGAAAACGAGAAAAGAGAGTGGTGAGTGTAGCTCAGTGTAGAGTTCTTGCCTGGTCTGTGTAAGACTCCAAGCTTAGTCCTAGTATTGAGAAGGAGGCAGTTAGGAATCATGTGATCGTTACATAATATACCCACTATTTTTTTTATTTAATCTTTGTTTACATGCTTAAATACTTTGAAATTTCCAAGTTCTATATCTGAGGTTATTGATTGGTTACTTTTCAGAGGTAATTTGAATAGAATTTAGAAAAATATTTTCTTCTCTGCTTCACCGTAAAACATGTGTGTAATTAGCCCACAGAACAGGCTTTGAAATCAAATGAAAACTACCCTTTATTGCATTTAACTTAAGGCAGTTAAGAGTTAAGACCCTGACTTCCTTTAGGAGACTGGCACTCCACAGCACAAGCTCTGAAAGCTGGACTCTGGATTGGTGAAAAGCAAGGGTTGTAACTTACTGTTTTTGAATGGAAACAGGAAAAAAATACAGTGATGTTTAAGTTCAAAAAGCACTTTCTCTGAGGTACCATGTAGTGAACCCCACACTGTATTGTTGGAGAATACCACACAAAGCACAGAGCCTGTCCTAAAGGAGACTGCCATCTGGTGGTGTTGGTCCAGTTTTACTGTGTAAAGGAACTGTGAGGCTCCATAGATCAGATTAGCCGTCCAGGGCTTTCTGCTGTGGCTGTGAGGCAGCTGTTTTAGCAGACAGGTGTTTGAACTTTTCCCATTAGACTGTGAACGGTGGAAACCAGCATTGTCACAGGCTGATACTGAGCCTGATTAGTAGAAGAAGCCTGATGTAGTTCTGAAATGAAAAATAGCCTCTGGCTGGTATCATGACTCAAGATATGCTTGTCACACAAGCCTAGTAAGCCGAGTTCCTTCCCCACATGTAGGAAGAGCCCGTGTGTCTGTTCTCACATACCCCCCTCTCTCTCACATACACATAAATTAGAAATTAAAATTGTCTCAGACATAATATTTCAAACTCATTTTTAAATATTTTTAGAATTTTAATGTTTAGTCCGACTTTGTTAGGCAGAGAAGCCAGACCACTTTTGAATGTCATTGATTATTTCAAGAATATATTGAAAATTATTGTTTCTTCATTATATTGGTTATTTCAAGATGTGTTAAAGAGTGCAAACATTTAACGTTAATCTAAAAGCCTGGTGTAAAAACAAGGTAAAGTTTTTTCTATGTTTTGTCGTTTTTTTGGGTAGAGTGAAAGAGAATCTAAGGTTTGCGACTCTTTCAAGAACTCTTCTAGAACGATACTTGTGTATATTTTCAGGATTTCTTAACACTGTGTTTATTTCTTAAGAAATATCAGGACTGTGAAGAAGCAAATCCTTTCTAATTCTAATTGAAGTCAATTTTACGATTATCATATGCTTTGTAGTTTCCTTGTTATTTGGAAGTTAAATTAGATGTATATTTGCAATTGGCTTGGCCTTGCTGTCCATCTTAGTTCAAAGCCAGCTGCACCTGAAATTTTGTCTTTTCATCTTCACACTCTTTGGTCTGCCTTCCTTTTTTTTCTTTTTTGCTTTAGTTTTGTTTGTATTATATCTTCTTCAATGGGTTAGTTTACTGAAGAAGTTTTAAGAGACTGTATACAAAATTGTTAACCAAAATAGATTTGGAATGGCTAGGATTATGAATATTATATATGTATACCTGAATATATATATATTATATATATATTTATGTAATAAGGACAATTTTCATTGAATGAGGCATGCTTATTTAGTTGGTGAATGGAGAAAAATATATCTTAATTGCTTTTGTTTCAGAATTCTTTTTCCTGGCGGAAGTGTTAGTATATCGCACTCAAGTTATGCCCACGTGGCCAAAATATTTTACAACAAGGCCATAGAGGTAAATATCTGCCATTGCTTATCACACTATATGGGTTGTCTGTTGCCATAAGGATCATTATCTTTCTTAAAGTGTATAGTATGGCTTCCTTCGCTGTTACTCCAACTTTATTCCCTTTAACAGTCAAATACTTGCTATCCAGGAATCAAGTGTCTCTTCCCACCTGTTAGTTTTGTCTCATGCAGTGTGGGAATTCTAGGTGTGAATCGTACATACCTTGTAGCTCAGTAGAGCTAGTGCCTCCCTCCGGCCTCTTCTGCTATGTACTGGGTGGGTCTCATGCCTATGCCAATAACTCTCCTCTTCCCAGTTGTTCCATCCAACTTCACCTTCTCCACAGCCACCTGTTGATGCCAGAGACAGCTCTTGTTGGACAGGTTTTACTCTAAGGCAAGGACAAGTGAAAGATAGGTGGTACAGAACAGAAGGAAGTTAAAAACAAAACAGTTTACCAAGTTGATGAGGACATCAGGTGACACACTAGAGTTGACAGGTCTGTTATGTGAGTTTCAGGGGCTAGCTTACAAAATTTTTACTTTTAGGGTTTGGGGAAACGAGATGTTGGCTAAGTTCAGCAATATATTTCAAAGACTGCACCTACAAATAATAAGCGTGTCAAATGAGACACAGGGGTTAGTAATAAATGGCTATTAAGATAGATTAAAGATAGCTCAAGATAATTCTGTCTCTCAATCTACAGCATGCTGTCACTTCACAGACATGAAGTTCTAGTCAACCAGTCAGTCTAGACTCTTCAAGACAGATGTGGCTTCATCAGGGAACTTCAAGCTCACATCCCTTAGGCTGTGTCGCTTACTATGCAGAGCCCCTAGCCACCATGCAATGCCTCACCTTGGACTTGCACTTATGCCATAGCTTCTTAGATCTCTGTTTCTCCCCTGAAATATTGTCAGTAATTTCTTCATTTATTGTCGCTAGTGCTCAGTTGGGTGAAGACATAATGTGCCCACAAGTCCCCTTTTCCATCCTGCCTCAGAAGGTTTCTGAACACAGGTTGAGTGGTAGCCTACTTATGAATCTCAAAGAATTCTGCATAAATCTGTGTTGCAATGATAGCAAGTGTGTATTGCTTGGTACACACATGCCCACACAGAAATATACATAAATACACGTGTATTTAAAGTTTGAATCAACATAGTTTTCTTTTTCATTTTCCCCAAGAGTTATGATGATGGAGACTATTTTCCTGTGTGGGGAACATGCCTTGGATTTGAGGCGCTCACCTTTCTGGTTAGCGGAGAGAGCTTACTAACATATACAAACACGGTCTCAGTGGCATTGCCCTTGAATTTCACTGAAGGTAAGAGTAAACATCAATTCTTCTAAAAATATTTCTCAACAGCATTAGGAAACACTAAATATCAAGTCAGAAATACTTACCAGTCATTGGAAGACCAAAACTATTGAGTTAACCTTTTGTTACTCATTTATGATGATGGCAAATTTGTATTTTGATAATGCATTGTTTCTAGTGGTTTCAGGATCATGTAATTAAGACTCAGAAACCATCAGTCTCTCTTTGCCTCATAACTTTGCACTGTAAAAGTTTCTACCTCTGCAAATTCTTTCTGAGAATTAATCAGAATAGTGATCTCCAGTTTGTAGTGTAGTACTTTAAATACAAATCTTATAAATATTAGATACTATTGCTGTCGTGGCAGCATTTTCTGTTTGTCTACATTTTCCTTGACTGTATTGTATTAACATTTTATTCTGGCACTAAACATTCGGAATTAGCAGGACTTCACCAATAAAAGGGTTTGGTTCCCAACAAGATCTCTGTATTTGTATGCTACTGAAAGACAAGTCACCAGACCACACGCACACTCTTGCTAGCTGCTGCAACTTCACAAAGCTCAAGAAAGTACTTGTATTTTCTTGCCATCTTGGAACTCCTATGAGCTTGGGTTTCTAGAATTCCAGAATTTTTATTGGCATTTTCTTGCAAAGCATGATCGAATCATTATTCATTTGGCTGAATCAGTCTCCCGAGTCTCTTCCATTTCCAGAGATTGGGCTGCTTCAAATTTCTCTAGTCACATGATTAGTCTATCTGATAATCAGCCCCATTCTAAGGGTTAACACTGATCATCTCATTAGCAAAATATACTCCTGTCATCCAGGGAATTTTAGTGTTTTGAGACACTCTTAGTTAGAAATCTTAAACAAATTCCATACACATTCTTGGATCATCATGATTAAGAGCTGCCAACTATACTTATTAAGAATTTTGGGAGGGAAGAATTTTGGTTATTCATAGAATTCATAGAATGCCCCCTACATTCAAAAGTCTTGTTTTCATTATTTCAATCACTGCAGGAACAGTATGGGAAGTGTATGTTTTAAGTCAGGCTTTCGGGGTTGCAATATAACAGAAGCCCAGTTTATACAACAAAGTCATCATTCAGGGTTCTGGGATTCTCAAATGAAGTCATTAGGCAGAGTGACAGACCTCGCTTAGCATCAGTGTCTTGAGTCTTTAGGATTGTGTTTTCATTCCCTTGTTGGTTGGTATTCTGGACTGTGTAGACTTTAGTCTCCTGGGCCCCTTCCATTCCCAGAGGTTGGGCTACTTCAAAGTCCTAGTCACATGGTTAGTCCTTCTGATGTGGTCCATGTAGAAACACTGCTTCCTTCATCATTTGCAGAGTAGGGTTTTTTTTTTTTGGCTAAGTTAATGCTGTTTTCTCCTTAGTTGGTATGCTGAACATTTCTTCAGTTGATTAAATTTATTCTTTGTCAGTTTCATTCATGAATATAATGTATGTTTACTCCTACCCACACCTTCTCATCTTCCTCCTCTCTCTTACCCATAACTACCCTCCTCCCTACATGAGATTTTCCCTCATTTGTGTCTTTTTTATTTTTGTTTTGTGAGTCACTGATTTTAACCAGGTCTCCCGGTGACCGTGGGTTTTGAAAGGTGTCTTCTGACTTTACACACCTTTTTCCTCCTTCTTCCACCATGCTCCTTGAGCTTTAGAGAAAGCGGCATGAATGTCCTGTTTAGGGCTAAGCATCCAAGCATCTCTTACTCTTGTGACTTTGATGAGCCACAAGTCTACATTCATTGCAAAGGAAACCTCTCTAACTACAGGTGGAACTAGCATTTGTCTATGGGTATAAACACAAATATGGTGTTTGTCGCCATGTCAGTTTAACTAAATAGCAGTAATGAGTTCCCCTTGAGGGGCCTTGACCTTCCCAGCATCTGTGTTAGACATGTGTTGGTCAGATCACAGGCACTTCTGTGGAAATACTGTGTTTTAATCACCATTTACTCATGTGGGTTATGTCTTAATAGTGGCTGCCATTTGGCTTCAGGTAAGTGACTTAATGGATTTTATTTTTTGGTGTATTTATAAGTCATTTGTCTGTGCTTAAATTATTTTAGGTGCATGGATTTTACAGTCCTAGGCATATATTCTCTCCCATGAAGAGAGCCTTAAATCTCATCTGAGAGAAGTTGCTTTACTTCCGTAACAATAGTGGCGCTTATTGTACTAAGGGGCATATCTTGCTTTCCAGCTTGTAGGTTCATAGCTGGGTGAGACCATTGTTCCCTTTTCTCCCTCAGCAGCTTGCATGGTCCTTTCTGGAACTGTGCAAGCCATCCAGTAGGAAAGAATCTGCCACCCCAGTTCCAGCCTGATTTATTTATATCTGGTATCCAAGGGGTGTGGTATCCTCAGCAATAGGGTCTTATCTAGTTCTGTGGGCAACCAAGAGGGATGGCAAGAACTCATATTGTTTTGGGAGTCTCCTCAGCCTCCCTGACCAGCAGGTCATAAGCTGCACCCCACACATGGCACTGGGATTTGTAGAAACAGTATTTCCTAGTCATGAGGAATATCTTTTTTTTTAAATGTATGTTTTAAAAGAAGTTTGTTTTTATTTCTCTGTCTCTGTCTCTCTGTCTGTCTGTCTCTGTCTCTGTCTCTGTCTGTCTCTCTCTCTCTCTCTCTGTCTCTGTCTCTGTCTGTCTGTCTCTCTCTCTCTCTCTCTCTCTCTGTCTCTGTCTCTGTCTGTCTGTCTGTCTGTCTGTCTGTCTGTCTCTCTCTCTCTCTCTCTCTCTCTCTCTCTCTCTCTCTCTCTCTCTCTCTCTCTCTCTGTGTGTGTGTTATAAGTGGTTGTGAGCTGCTGTATATGGAAGCCAGGAATTGATCCCGAGTCTTCTGTAACATCAGCAAGTGCTCTTTACTGCTGAGCCATCTCTCCAGCCCTGTAACTTCAAGTTTTTAATTGGTTTACAAAGTAGTAGGCTCCCATGTGGCTTTTCATTCTGGTTAATCTGCCCTCCATGCATTTTTTTTTCTTTTAGGTCCTTTATACCTTTGAAAATACGTTGAAATGCTAGGTTCTTTTCTGGGAACACAAGCATACACATATTTGGAAGTTATTATTTTTCAGAGGTTTCTGAGGAGCCAGAGTTGATTCTCTGCTCTTTTATGGCTAGCCTATTTGTAGTTATTCATATTAAAAACTTTAAAAAGTAATTACATCTGGAGCATATCATCTTTGTATCCATGTGTGACGTGTCTTGGCCCGATTGCAGGTGCTTCTGTGGAAATGTTGTGTTTTGCTCACCATTTATTCATCTTAATTATGTCTTAGTAATGGCTGCTGTTTGGCCTCAGGTAAGTGACTTAGTGGGTTTTATTTTTTTTATGTGTTTAAGTTGTTTCTCTGTGCTTAAATTATTTTAGGTGTCTTACAGGGCAGAATGTTCCAGAATTTTCCTGCTGAGTTATTGGTGTCACTAGCATTAGAACCTCTGACCGCAAATTTTCACAAATGGAGCCTCTCTGTGAAGGTATCACATGATTACACAGCAGTACCTCCTTCGTGAGAGGAGCACATTTAGGATAACTATATGAGTGATCCCTCTGTTTCATTCTTGTGTTGTAGAACTTTACAGAAAATGAAAAGCTAAGCAAGTTTTTCAAGATATTAACAACAAATACAGATGGCAACATAGAGTTCATTTCATCCATGGAAGGTATGTGTGCATCTAGACGGAATCTTCTCATTTTAATCTATAGGCGTCTTTTCTTGGGAGTGCAGTCGCATGACTTTGGAGTTCAGAGACAGATGTAGGGTTGTTTTTGAAGACAGAAGACACATTCTGTCCACATCTCAAAGCAGTTGAGGCTTACCTGGGTAGACTCTGGAACTGTGACATCAAGGGAGGGTGAGGATGGAGAAAACCACTGTTTCTAGACATATCACAGATTACACACTTGGACAAGGTTTTCAGAAAATTATGACAGATGGGTTGATAGCAGAAAGCATTTTTCTAAATACATCAACTAGGTGGCAAGAAAATAAACAAGTTAAAGCCCGAAACTGGGAGAGTATCAAGAGCAGCACTATTGATGGTCCAGACCAGAGACAAAGATCACATGTGGACAAAACACCACGGTTGCCACACACGGCTAAGCTCAAAAGGCACGTGGAATCCTGACCATGGAACTTCAAGGACAGTTGCCTGCCTGTGCATACTAAAGACATAGGGTGAGGATGGTGGGGTGAGTGTGTTCCTTGAGTACTCACAGTGTTAGTCTGATTTAGTGTTGCCTGCGTTACATAGCTGGAAATATGGACAGACTGCAGGTTGAGATGGTCACTTATAGGTGTCTTCTGGTAGCACACATGTACATGACGGAAACAAATCAAAACACTTGTCTTAGAGAGGGCAAGGATCATTCATTCCATGCTTCAGGAAATTTCTCTGATGAGGTTTGATGGAACATGAATGGTCCATGCCCCAGATCAGTAACACAGGTAATTGGTGTACCAATAGCAAGATAACTAGCCCTGCACAGACCAGCTGTAAAAGCTATGACATTAAATAGAACACCTGAGTCTTAAAGAAATAAGGAACATTTGAAAATATATAGCTGTGGTTGTACATACCTTTAATCCTAGCACTTGGGAGGCAAAGGCCAGCCTGGTCTATAGATTGAGTTCTAAGACAACCAGGGCTACACAGAGAAACCCTGTCTTGGGAAAGGGAAAAAGCATAAAAGAAACTTGAAAAGAACTAAATTTAGTTATTGTTGGGGAAGTCCTGTTATTTGCCTGTGCATTTGTCAATAAAGTACTGTCTGGCCAATAGAAAACCTAGATAGGAGGGACTAGGAGTCGAGGAGGATTCTGGGAAGGG